TGATTGTCTTGTTTTTGTTTTTCTTCTTGAATCACTTCATTTTGTTCTTTTATGTCAGTAACTTCTTCCTTAATTTCTTCTTTTGAGTCATGAGTTTCCTTCTTTAACTCTTTCTTTTTGCCAAATGAATATATTGGAGTTGTTAATACAGGATTAGTCCAGCTTGCACTTGGTCCAGTGGATGGGTTTTGTATTGACTCGTTTACCATTGTAGTTAGTGATGACACTCCACTAACAATGGACGATTTAATCGACCCAAATCCCCACTTCTTTTGTGGTTCTTTTGGTGCTTCAACTTGTAAAGGAGCTAACTCTTCTGTTTTTAATATGACTTTTGATTTCTCATTATGATCAATAATGCTTTCAAAGAATTCTTTTACATCCGTCTTATTGTCTAATGTCTTTATTCCATCTGACATCACTGAATTAAATTCTGTTTCATTAATTCCAATACTTAAATATATTTGATGAGCACGTTTAAAGATATTTATGATTTCATCATTATGATATGTCATTAATTCATAACATTGTCTCACTGTTTCAACCATTTCTTGACCATATAATAAATCATAACATTCAGATGCTTTATTAACTGAATTTTCATAATCTTTTTTAACAATAGAATATTGTTGATGCATTTTATTGTATTTAGGAATTGATTTTGAGTCATTTGTTTCATTAATTTTCTTAGTAAGATCTTTCATGTCTTTGAGCACATTTAGATAATGACCTTCACACCTTAAAGCAAAGGAAGCAACATCCTCATATATTTTAACTTTTCTAACTGCTTCATTGATAATTTTCTTTTTTTGAGTATCAATTTCTTTAGCAAGAGAAAACAGTGGAGTAGCTACTTCTTCAAGGAGTTTTTTTCCTACATTATATTTTTCTTCAGCCCTTTTAGTGTTAGAAGTATCTAAAAGTTCAAAATAACTTTTCATTCCACTACAAAGAAATAAGTGAATTTTCATTATGAACTTTCTGTGAAATAACAAACGTTTGAAGAAATTTTTTTGAATCTTCTTTACCAAATGATGGAGTGTTAACATAAGTAATTAGTCCTAATAATTTCTTTCCATACTCTATTTCTAAAGTAGCTCTTCCTTGATAATATTCACCATATTCTTTTGTTATATCAATTAAAGCATCTAATTGATGAACAATAGAGTTTATTTCAAAAACACAACTTTTATATAGTTCTATGTTTGTGGTAGTCATAGATTAAATAAAACAATAATTTTTGAAGTTCTTTTTTGAATGAATAATTGAATTAATCTTCTTCAGTAAATGCTTTTAAAATAAAAACTAAAAATTACAATTTTGATATAATGGAAAAGAAACAACAAGAAAAAGAAATTAATTATTCTTTTCATCAATTGCTTAATTGGGATAGAATGAATGAATTTAAACAACAAAACAGATCACGTAGAGGATTACAACGAAAAGTAATTTTTATTATTGACATGTCATTAAGTATGAATCAAGAAGATTATCAACCAAATAGAATTACATTCATCCAAACAAGTTTTGTTTAATTTTTTTCTATTTAATATGAAAGAGAAAATCAAAAGAAAAATTAATACTTTAAGAACTTAAAGAATTTTTTGAAGAATTTTATATTGATAATCCATTAAGTGAAATTGGATTAATTTGTACAAGAAATAAAACAGCTGAACAACAATTTCCATTGTCTAGAAATTTAATAATTCAAAAAGAAATGAAATGGGGAAATTGTGAAGGACAAATGTCATTACAAATATCACTTGATTTAGCACAACAAATATTATCTACTACTTCTAATTCTTCTTCAAGAGAAATTATTATAGTAACATCTTCTATAACTACATGTGATCCTGGTAATATTTATGATACTATTGAAACTTTAAAAAAAACTACAATTAGATGTTCAGTAATTTCATTTGCACCAGAAATGCATATAACAAGATTATTAACTAAAGTTACAGGTGGAGATTATCATACAATAATGAATGAAAAACATGCTGAAGATGTTTTACATACATTTATTATTCCACCAATATATAAAGAAAATGCATATGAACCTAAAACTATACAATTATATATTGGATTTCCAAAACAATTAAATGTACCAACAATATGTGAGTGTCATTCTAAAATTGATATAAATCATTTTGAATGTCCTATTTGTGGTTTTTGTTATTGTGAATTACCTATTCAATGTAAAATATGTAATGCTATTTTACTTCTTTCTCATCATTTTGCACGTTCTTATCATTTTATGTTTCCAATTGAACCATTTAAAGTTATTGCAATGATAAAACCACAAGAAAAATGTTTTGGATGTGGTAAAGAAATTGATGATAGAATGGAAAAAAAAGAAGAAGAAACAGTTAATGTTTATCAATGTAAAAAATGTTTAAAATATTATTGTAATGAATGTGATAGTTTTATTCATGATGTGTTATATAATTGTCCTGGCTGTGAAAGTAAAGAACTTCTTAATTAAATTTTCTTTTATTCTAAAAAAAAA